GGCATTTTGTTTGTGAATTCTCGGATCGACCGGGAGGAGCTGTGCGGGCGGAGCGCGGAGTGTAGCATCCATTTGGAGGTGATCGTGGACCGGCCTCTGCAGGTTTTCCACGTGGAGGTGGAGGTGAGGGACATTAACGACAACCCGCCTGTGTTCTCGGTAAAGGAGCAAAGAATGTTAATTTACGAATCTAGACTGCCGGATTCTTTGTTTCCACTAGAGGGCGCATCAGACGCTGATGTTGGCTCAAACTCTATCTTAACCTATAAACTCAGTCCCAGCGAATACTTTGGGCTAGATGTGAAAACAAACAGTTATGGCAACAAACAAATTGGACTCTTGTTGAAAAAATCCTTGGACAGAGAGGATGCTCCTGAGCATAAGCTGCTGCTGACAGCCACGGATGGAGGCAAACCTGAGCTCACAGGCTCTGTTCAGCTGCTGGTCACTGTGCTGGATGTGAACGATAACGCCCCTACTTTCCAGCAGTCTGAGTACGAAGTGAGAATATTGGAAAACTCAGACAACGGAACGACGGTTGTTAGACTGAATGCTTCGGACAGGGACGAAGGGACGAATTCAGAAATTTCTTACTCTTTTAATAGGCTGGTTCCACCCATGGTTCTTGAGAAGTTTAGCATAGATACAGATACAGGAGAAATCGTAATTCAAGGGAACTTGGATTTTGAGCAAGTCGATGTCTACAAAATCCGCATAGACGCGACAGACAAAGGACATCCTCCGATGGCGGGTCATTGCACTGTTCTGGTGAAGGTGCTGGATGAAAATGACAATGTGCCTGAGATCACATTGACTTCCTTATCGCTGCCTGTTCGGGAGGACGCTGCACTGGGTACTGTCATTGCTCTGGTTAGCGTTTCGGACCTGGACTCAGGTGTCAACGGGCAGGTGACCTGCTCCCTGAGTCCCCATGTCCCCTTCAAGCTGGTGTCCACTTTCAAGAATTACTATTCGCTCGTGCTAGACAGCGCCCTGGACCGAGAGACCATTGCTAACTACCACGTGGTTGTGACTGCCCGGGACGGGGGCTCGCCCTCGCTGTGGGCCACAGCCAGCGTGTCCGTGGAAGTGGCTGACGTGAACGACAACGCACCCACGTTCCCGCAGCCCGAATACACGGTGTTCGTGAAGGAGAACAACTCGCCTGGCGCGCACATCTTCACGGTGTCGGCCATGGACGCTGACGCGCAGGAGAAC